TCTTCCGGCATAATTCTATATGATTCTGCTTATATCCAAATCGCATCGTTCCTTTAGTGCATAAACACAACTGTACATTGCTGTGCAATCTGACCGTACACGCCAAGCTGCCCCTGAAATTGCTGCCTGCATATATTCGGCGATCTCTCCTCAAATTTACAAATATGAGACAGATTCATAAACTTTGCAGCAAGAGATGACACGTCCAACAAAAAATCACCATCTCTTAAAACCATTCTTCCTTTTCTAGTTGCTGAACCCTTTTGATCACTTGTGACTGCTGATGGTATTTGTAACAAATTGGGATGAAAGGCACTTGCTGATTTCTTTTGATATGTTTTCTCTAAGCTCTCAAATGGCTCCTCTTCTTTTTCAACCTGAGAGGTCTTTTCTTCACTTTTCGCGGAACCCAGCATCCTGTTTGCCTCTTTTGTTAGTCCAATCGAGCGCCATGCATCTGCAACAAGCGAGATAGTAGATTTCTCCGGCTGAACACCAAACCCTTTCATAATCTGGAGTATTTCTTCAGCTTTTCATGGCAGGTTTGCTCCTCTAAATCCCCGTATTAGGGTCTCAGATGTCTTTAAATTGGGAGAAATACCGGACTCGTACATCTTATCAAAAACTTTGATCGCGTTCTCCATTCTGCCACTGCCAGAACTGCACCATCCGCTCATGATGGTTGTGAATATCACAACGATTGGACGAACTCCTAATTTGATCATGGTTGCAAATAGTTCTTCAGCTTTCTCGACTTCTTGAGCACGCACGTAACCTTTGGTAAGAATGCTGTATGCATGTGCATCGGGTTGTATGCCGGCCTTCACCATGTCATCGAAGATTTGTCTACACTTCTCCATGAACCCTGCTGTGCTCCATGCATTCATGATGGTGCTAAATGTTATCACATCTGGTTCGACCCCAAATTCTTCCATCAATTTCAGCACCTGCAAAATTGCAAACTAATACACATTTTTGTGTCAATAATCGAAACAAACACCATTTCGTGCAAACAAATAGTTACGCAGTTCTGTAGGTCATAACTCACCTGATCAACCCCATCTCTATCCATGGTGTCTACGAATCCTTTAACCAGCGAGTTAAAGAGTACAATGTTCGGGCAGAGGCCAAGATCTTTTATCCTGCGCATAAACCTTAAGGCCTCCTTCAACTTACCATCCTTGCAATACCCGCTCATGATAATGCCACAAGCTGTTGAATCCTTCCATTTGCAATAGTGGTAATTCTTTCTCCATTTTTGTTACCTGATTCTCCCATATGTTTTACTTTGCAATGAACAAAAATCAAAGAAGACAATATTTTTTTTTTTTTTTAATTTTCAAAATTTTGGGTTTCTGGGTGCTACTCAATCACAATCAGAAGACACCAGAAAATCAAAGCTCGGTTGTACGTGGTCAAACCAACTTGAACATTAAGAGAGAGGGAGAGAGAGAGAGAGAGAGAGTGACTGTGCTTGGAGTTGCTTGTAAGGAATGGAGGAGTATGGAGACCCACCAAAACAGATGGGGAACATAATGTATGTAATCATCTCTGAGGGGGAGAGAGACAAATGTGATGGGGATAAGCCGATAAGGAGAAAAAAGTGAGGGTCTCAAAATTTTCAGGAAAATTGCTTCTCATTTTTTTTTCTTCCCTTTTTTCTTATTAAAAATAAATCATGAGAGTTAGTGTAATCTCTCAACACCCCACCTTTCTCATAAATCTTAGTTTCATTTTTAAGGTAATCAAATTTCCATTAAAAGTCCAACCAATTTTTATTATATTTCTTTCGTGACACATATAATTAATAAAAGAAATGTTAGGATTAGTTGTGTATAGGTACGTAGTTGATCATTTATGCTTCGACTCATAAAACAAGAACGTCGATGTTAAATTCATATCAAGCACGAATTCAACTGTTAAATTTGGGGTGGCCTGAGTTATCTAGGTGGATAGGGAGTGGGTTAGAGCAATAAGCTATTTGGTAAGACTTGATTGTAAAGTCCAAACTAACCTAGCCAATAATGTGTTCATTCTCATTATGTGTTTATGCGCACAAATGATTGTAACACTCCTCTATTTGGTAAGGCTGTCGCACTATGACAACACACACAAAAGGGTAGAAAATCATAGGTTAGTGGGTGGGACAAAATACGCAATGAGAAACACAAATTTCCCATGGTGAGATCATTGTCAGCTATAATTAAAATAGATTTTCTTTGATAATGGGTGGTGCTATCCACATCTACACATGCTTTGTTAATTTTGTATGTTGATATTCTTCAATATATTCGATCTGACGGTCAAAAATTGAGAGAAGTGTGTGGAAGGTAAACAAATGGTGTGTGGATGGCACAACCCTCGATAATTAAGATAAAGGTTTGGGCTTTAGGTTGGGCTTGAGTCAGCCCATTACGGGTTATGGGCCGGGTCACCATACATAGGGTCATAGCCGTAAGCCAATGGCTCTACGCACTGGGCTTATGTAAAAGTACCATACATGGGGTCCTAGGAAAATGCCGCAAAGATGAATTCCCGGAAAATCTAAAAAAAGAGAGATCAGAAGCAAGCAGCCAGTGTGATTAAAACTTCAGAAATACTCTTCTTTCTTCGTAATTTCCAATTGTTTTTCATTAATCACAGAATAATCACCGTGATTAAGACCCAGATTAGAGATTCATCTGAATATGCAGCCCAATTTTTTTCAGTAATTATCTTTGAATTTTTGGAATATTCTTCTGGAGTGGTCAATTTCGGGATTGATATGTTTAGGCTGTGGAAATGGTACCAGAATTCTTTATCTGTTCATCCGATTAAGACGCAGGTCATCAGCTCCGGTTTGATTTGGGGGTTTGGTGACATAACTGCCCAGACCATCACCCACTCCACGGCCCAGGAAAGCGAGCGGATTCAAGCTCAGGTAAAAATAAAATTACCCATTACCCAAATGGTTTTCTTTTTTTACCCTCAATTTTCTGGTAATATTCTTGCATTTCTTGCTCTGTTTCAGTATTTGCTCAAATGGGTCTCTGTTATTCACTATTTTCCCAGATGGGTCTCTCTTGTTTTCTCCTACATTTGATCATTTAGCTCTTGTTCTTGTGTTTGTGGAATTTCTTTCATGCTTTGGATGACCTCTGTATTTGTTTATGTATTTGTCAAATTTTATTGAATCGTTGCCATGGAATTTGGAAAAAATTTCATTGTGCTTGTTTTTTTAAACTTCAAGAAGTGTAGGATTTGTTGCTTAATAATGGGGGTTAATGTGGCACCAAGCGGATATAGTTCCTCATAAGCAACTTATATTGAACGGGTTCACTATGGCATGATGTTTAGGTTCAACAATACAATTCCATGTGTAAGTGGTGGTGAACCAATTCCATGTAAGTCTTTCATCATGTTTAGGGAAAAGTTTTGGTAGCTGCATTTTCTTTATCTCTTGATTTGGAGGATCACATATTTTGGAGAGGATATTAAACTACTTACTCATTGTGTATAATTTTTCTTAGTTTAGAGAAACATGACGTGTTTTGGTAATGTTCTTAAACGATTCTTCGGTCATAAATGTACCAAACACTTTCTGAAATCAAGTTACGCTGTTAAGCATAACACCTTGTGCAGAGTTCCCCAATTTTAGGCTACATATATGAGAGAAATATAACGTAAAAGTTTTGGAATTTCTCAACATTTTGTTTTATATTAAATGATCAAATTCAAATGCATGCTCGCAAGACGGTGCTATCAAATATATTGTTAATTAGTTTTCCATGTTAATAGACTAACTTATTTGTCTTCGTGCACAGGGTGAAGATGAAAAGTTAAAGATCAACTGGAGAAGAGTGGGTACAACCAGCTTGTTCGGATTTGGGTTTGTCGGGCCTGTTGGCCACCTCTGGTAAGGAAATTTTTTTGGTGGAAAAGATCATTCTGAGTATGTCGACATGTGATTTTGCTGGTGTTTTTGAGATCTTGTTCACATGTCAAATGGCGTTCTAGAATTTTACCAAGTAAAGGAACCACTAATCATGGGCATTTGGGCCTCCTTAAAACCTTTCACTGCGTTTCCTCTCTTTTCTTTGCTGAGAGAGACAGTTTATGAGTTTGGTTTTATTATTCTTTTGCAGGTATGAAGGTTTAGATCGATATATAAGGTCAAGACTTCTGCTGCAACCAAACTCATTTCGGTTTGTTGCTTCTAAAGTGGCGATTGATGGATTCCTTTTTGGGCCATTGGATTTACTTGTGTTTTTCACATACATGGGTTTTTCTGCCGGAAAGAGTTTTCCTCAAATCAAGCAAGATGTGAAAAGGGATTTTCTACCGGCCTTTGTTCTAGAAGGAGGCGTATGGCCGATTGTGCAAGTAGTAAACTTTCGGTTTATACCTGTGAGGTATCAGCTCCTCTATGTCAACTTCTTTTGCTTGTTGGATAGCTCTTTTTTGTCATGGCTCGAGCAACAACAGGATGCTCCATGGAAGCAATGGTTGAAATCATTAGTACATGTTAGCAAGCAAAACGGTGATGAAAGGTGATTCGTGATTGCCCTTGAACTATACAGTGGATTGTACGTCAGAAAAGTATAACAGTTGAGTGAGAAAACTAAGATACCAACTTAGTTTTTGGAAGTTGGGAATTCGGAAGAGATGGATTTGCTCTCATGGTTATCCAGGTTTTACTTGCGTTACAAGTTTTCATTTATTTGTATTCTCTAGGAATGATTTAATAATGTTTCTATCAATTGTCTTTGCTACTGATTGCAAGTTCTTGGTCTTGCATCCAGTTGAGTATTATCAATTTGGTTTTACCGTCTTACCCTCTGTAAATATTTACTCTTGGTGGTAAAATACCGGAAAGGAAATTTTCCGGAATTGAGATTTGATATGTGATCCTTGTTTCATATCCATTCTGTGATTTTTCAACTCTTAAACAGTTAACAGACCTGAACAAGCAGATAACAGCTGCTACTTCAAACCCAGACCAAAATTATTTACCAGAAAGATTAGCGTAATCAGTGATTTTTTTTTTTTTTCAGCAGGCAATTGAAAAAATTGAATGTACATAATTTTCTTTTCAGTTCTTAACTCCACACCATTCGTTGGCCCTCGCTGCTGGAGCCGGAAAGGTTAAGACCGTATCCACTGGTAGTTTCACTGTACCTACTGATATCGAGGTATGCATTCTCGAAGCCATTGTGTAATGTGCTGTTTCCTGGTGTGATTCCTTCACGAAGCTCCGTCAAGGAAGCGACTCCTTCTAAAGCGTGGACTACCTGCTCGGTTCGGATTAAGTTGAAAGATTTTTGGTTAATTAGATGAACAGTTATGCGCTTTGTTTCAAATAAGCTATAATTGTGAAACATGAAAGAGTGAATTACTTGACTCATTCGCGGTCGAAGCCATGCTGAATGCCGTACGCAAGCAGCGGCGCAAGCAACCATTCGAGCCATCTCATTCTTCTTGTAGTTTTTCTCCAATCTTGGATCAGTGAGTGCATCGAAATCACCATCTTCCAGCGCTTGAGTGAGCAATGGCCTGGCCTGCAATGCCGAACACGAAAATTCAGTTATTTGTACACTCAAAATTTCTGCACTCGAGGACCACGGTTGATGTTCTGCATCCATCAGATAATATGATCAACGAAATGTAAGGTGAGGCAATGCTAAGAAACGCATCAAGGATGCAAGAGAACTAACCCACTGCACTAGGCCCTTGTTCCTTACGGATTCTGAAGTACTGATAGGACGGCGTCCAGTGATCAGTTCTAGAAGTACAACCCCGTATGAATACACGTCTGATTTGTCAGTTACCTTACCGCTCGATGCGTATTCTGGAGCCAGGTACCTGTACATGTTCGACCAAAGAACAACTGATTAAGAAAATTCTGCCCAACAACGCGAATTTTGTTCCGACAGATAGCAGTCAAAGCAAAACTGAATACATTGCTATGGCGTTGGAGTTGTAGTAAGAAGAATATCATGTTCTTACCCAAACGTTCCCACTACTCGTGTCGAAAAGTGAGTCATGTGAGTGTTGGTATCAGAGAAGGATTTGGCCAGTCCAAAGTCAGAAACCTGAATGTTAAATCTCAAGTTCGTTAATCTTATTATCGCTATTAACACCGGTTAATCCATTGAATATATAGAGAAGCTCTCAATTTTTGTCAGCAATGTGAAAGGAAAAGTTAGTGCAATAGTAATGGCATTGAGAACCTTGGCTTCAAAGTTATGATCCAGAAGAATATTAGACGCTTTGATGTCGCGATGAATGATTTTTGGATTGCCTGCAACCGAGAATGAAGATGTGAAAAACATTCGCAATTTTATTTACCGGATGAGAAAAAGAAACTTCCAAGAGATCTGTGAAGGGAACTCACAATCTTCATGGAGATATGCGAGTCCTTTTGCTGATCCAGTAGCAATTCTGAGTCTGATTTCCCACTCCAGAACAGGCTGCCCTTCTCCTGCAATGCATTGCGTTTAGTAGTGTTACCGACGTTCTAAAACACGGAGATCAAAGAAAGAAAAAAAAAACCATTGGCTATTTGGTTTATTGAATCATCTATCGAGCCATGAAAAAGATTCAGCAATAGACATAAACAAATGCACTATCTGTTTTACTTCAAGCAATACATGGAGAAAACTCCCGATATAGCAGTAAAAGCAAGACGTGTAGGCAAATCAACTTATCAAATTCTTGCAGTAAAAGCAACACGTATAGGCAAATCAACTTATCAAATTCTTGCGTCATACTCCAGTTGAATCAAAATCAATCATTTGAAATAGGACTTACCGTGTAAGTGGAATTCCAAGGTGTTGTTTGGAACAAACTCATAAACAAGCAACCTATCAACCCCGGTTGTGCAGTATCCAACCAAAGAAACCAGATGCTTGTGATGAACGCGGCTAATGATGTCAACCTCGGACTGAAATTCTCGCTCCCCTTGCCGGCTTCCTGTCTTCAACTGCTTGACTGCAACTTCTTTTCCACTTGGAAGCACTCCCTTGTGAACATACCCGAAGCCGCCTTGTCCAAGAAGGTTGGCTTCAGAAAAGCCATTGGTTGCCACCACTATTTGATCATATGTGAAAATCCCATTTGAGAAATCGAAAGGCGACCCAGCTGGCCTTTGAGTTTGAGGCGGATGTGGAAACTGATATCTGGATTTGATCGAAGCAGAGCCGGCATTGCGGCTTATTGGAGATTGTGGGACGTTGGAGCTGGATAGCACCCTGATAACATGGACTCCTGGTAGACGAACATCTGACAATGCAACGGAGAAAACACAGTAAATCAGTAAATGAAATTGTTTTTTTGTTGATTATATTCTACTTTTAACTAATCATCTAAACTGCGAAGAGAAGATTCAAACTCAGGTGCATAAGAAAGTACACATCCCCTCTAGCCAATGTAGTAAAGGCAACGTAATCACCTTTTGTGGCGAATGGTGGTGTTTTATGGGGATCCGCCAAAAGGGCACTGTTGTTTTGCTCCGCCTACGATTGTAACAGAGAAACAGAATGGCAAGGAAGAGAGCGACGGCGACAAGTCCACCAACGGCGCATGATCCGGCTATGAAAGCTGTGCTCTTGTTTGCTCTTGGGTTGTGGACTTGCAAGGTGGTTGGCAGGGATGAGGATAATGGTGGATGTAGCATTGACTGAGGCGGCATTGTCAATGTGGTTGGAGGTGGGATTATGGAGTTATTGTTGGAGGGAGATGGCTGTAGAGTGCTGGCCAATGGGGGAGGCAATGCAGGTGGTGGAGAATCGTTGGTTGGACTCGCTAATGGTGGTGTTTGAGTGGTGGGGCTGGTGGGGGCGGGTGGAGTAGGAGTTGACAATGCAGGTGGTGGTGGAGCGGTTGATGGGATTATAGGAGGGGAAACATGTGGTGGTGGTAAAGGTGGTGATAGTGGCGGAAGAGAAGGTGTTGATGGCAGTGGAGTTAGTGGTGGCGAGGGTGGTGGAGGGGAAGAGGTCACTACTGATGGTGGTGGTGAATGCGATGGAGGTGAAGAGGTGACCAGTGTTGGTGGTGGAGGAGAAGTGGCTGAAGGCGTTGGTGGAGGAGTGACCGTAGATGGTGGCAACAGAACTGGCAATGGTGGAAGCTGAGGTGGCGGAGATGTTAGAGGAGGCGGTGGTGGTGAGGAAACAGGAGGGTCAGAGTTGTTTATAGGCGGCAGAGTAGGAGGAGTACTAGTGGGTGAGGATGGTGCTATTTGTGGCAATGGCGGCATCAACGGTTGTGGAAATGGTGACGGCAACAATGGCGGCAGAAGTGGAGGAAATGACGGTGTCAATGGAGGTGGAGTGGTAACTGGAGAAGCAGCAGGAGGCAGTGACCGTGGCGGCGAAGACATTGTTGGTTGCAGAGTAAGTTTCTATTGAGTTTCTAGAGATGTATTGTAATTTGTATTTGTATAACAACATAACACTTTAGCTACTAATAGATAGAGGCTGTATATAATAGAGTCCCGATAACTCACTAGTCACTATTAAATTTGATATCAAGGTTTGATTAAAAAAAAATTGATATCAAATTTAATGACGGATATATGTTTTGGTCATTTTTCTTTAACAATCCTTGATTATCGAGTTATCTGATGAGTGAACAATGTAAATTGACTTTAAGATGAACTCTAACAATGAGATGCTAAAGATTGTCTAAATTTTGAACTACTTAATAGGTTAGACTAACAAAAGCAAATTCAATAATTTAGTACCAAAAGAGTATTATTGAAATATAATATATAGGATAGATAGGACATTATTGTAAAGGGATCATCTCTGGTTCCCTTCCTTCTAATTCACCAAATTAGAGAATTCGTGCCGTTGAAAATTGATCCAACGACTGGAGTTATTATAACTTTTAAATAGATCCCTGTGTTTGTAGTCTTTGGATCAATATTCAACGACACGGATTCTCTGATTTGGTGAATTAAGAGAAAAAAGGAGAGATTTTAATTATTTTTTAATAAATTTCTTCCAACTAACCTCTCACTTATTTTACTTTTATATGTTGAATGGGGAAGCAGCATGTGATCAGTAAGACAGTAACTAGTTGCTGTTGTTGTTGGTGTTGTCGGTGGAAATCCAGTTCACTTTCCACTGACTCACTAGGGCTATAGCCCACTACGAGTTAATATGGGAAAGAAAAATTTGGGTGGAACTTGGTCACGTTATTCGTAGGAGAATTCTCACAACAATATAGAATTCAATATGTTTACAGTTTAATATCGAGAGAATCTTTAATAGGAGTGACACTACAACGTGGTTAGACATATAGGGCAAGTTAATAAGACATTACCATGTTAACATAAATGGAGCCAAATTAACCGAACATCATGAGAATTTGAGCATGTTTGTGAGAAAAAGTTGACTGACTTTTCTTGTTGGCACTGTTCTACCTGGAGATGCTTCAATTAAAAAGTAAAAGATTCAAGGGAAGATGTAAAATTAGGGCAGATGACAACAAAGCTTTGCTTGGTGCCCAATATTTAGGTTACAAGAGTTAAATGCTGTCTTTCTTCTTGGAGTACTTCTTGTCTTTTATCCGAGATCAAATCTAATCAAGTCGACAGTGTTACACTATTAGGATACTTCAAATAAACTAGAGTATGTACATGATACACCGATGCTAAAACCTTTTCTCAAGATGTCATGGTGAAGGTTGTGTTCAAACTCTCCTTGCCTACATTTCCGCTCGTCATATAAACCGTGGAAATGGATGCTACAAAACCCCTCCCGTGAATTTCATGTCATTCAATCTGTCGGATAACCCTGCTCTTCGATAGCAGGCGACCAACAGATCATAAGTTGATTTTGTAAGTTCATAAGAACCCTTAACACGTTCCAAAAAAATCATCCAATCTGTCCAACATGGCATGCAACCGTACAATTTCACAGTGGACCGGCAATAAAACTTCCAACATGGCATTCAACCGTAAGAAGAAGCAGCTCCTCCACTTTCTCCACCATCTTAAGTTGAATGAACAATCCTACAACCATCTCTGCCATCTCTTCGTTGGTCTTCAATCCGGCATCTAACACTACCTTCAAAAAGTCTATAACTGAATTATAGTAGATTTTGCACAGAAAAATATATTTTGAAAAACATGAATATGATATTTTGTTGTTAATGTGCGATAAATAAAAGAAAAATTAACAAAAACAAAAGATAAAAAATAAAAAAATTGAATAGGGAGATCGGTATGATGCTAGCGATTCGTGAAGTACAAACGGTAGTGAAGTACCGATTGTATCATTTTCTATCATTGACATGGATTATTATCCTAGTTTTATTTATTTAATATCCCTTCGGTGTCATTGAGATAAGAGATGTCGTTTCTAGCCTATCTCTTCTTATTTATATATATATATATATATATATATATATATATATAGAAAGTTGAAAAATCATCATAAACGAACCAATATTTTATTATTATTTGAAATGAAAAAATAATAATATTTTAATATGAATTGCTTGAGCTATTCAGTGTAGAGGGTTTGGACAGCTACTATTTATTAAAAGCAGTTACGGTTCACATAAGGGATTGTGTAGCTACTATTTTAACATGAAGGGATTGGGCAGTTACTGTTCCCATGGCTGTAAATAAAGGTGTACAAAAGCTAACCAACAGGATCCCCCGAAGGGGTTGCACTGCAGACCGAAATAATTTTGTCAAAAATGTATTATTTGTATTCATCTTCACTTGTTAGCGAAAAATTTTAGATTAAAAAATAAAAAATGGTACTGTTTGTTAAAAAACAAAAAATGCATCACATACACGAATTTTACACGTCATGGTACACTCAAAACTTAGCCAGAATTTTTTATTTTTTTTTCTTTTCTGGGGGGTGGAGTTGGTACACGACAGAAGCAATCAGTTCCGGTTTTACAACAACAGAAAAAAAAAACATTATGAAAAGAAAAACTAACTCAACCCCTATGGAATCTCATGGAGATTGATCTACAGCTACAAAATCACACTTTCGCAGCCTTCCCGTCGTCTCCGGAGGAAACTAATCGAAGGGACTTGCTCTATTTTCTGCTGATGGCAACTTAAATGATCATGGCATGCCGAACTTGGACAGGGCAGACTGGAACGCGGATGAAAAGGGCTGAGTTGCACTTTGGTCATCGGCTTTTATCTTTATTTGAGCTTTGGCGGATGATGTGTTGACTATACACTCTACCAAAAATGTTGAGGATTCTTCTGCCTTCTGTGCGAAGAAGAAAAACTTGAAGTTGGGGGATTGGCCGCCGGATGCAATGCAGTGGATGGCTTGGCCTTGCATATGCCGTAAGAGTGCTTGAGGCGTTGTCAATGCTGCAACTCCTTGAGGGTTCATAGAATACTCCTGCTCGAAATTAGAAGCAATTTGTAAGAAAGATATATATAAAAGACCGACCAAAATATAAGCAGTATAAACATTATGCAGAAAAATATATATTTCAAGGTATACCTGTGATAAAGATATTGGCAGTTGGCGCCACTTCTGCTGGAAAGAGGTTGGATCCAAAACAGCTTTTGGATTAAGCTTCAACGTAGGAGGTGAAGGTGCAGGCGCAGGTGCAACAGCTAGTCCCAAGCCAAGCAGATCATCAATTGCAAAGCTAGACTGCGGAGCATTTCCTGACACACTAGGGTTTGAAATTGCCAACTCCGACAGTTGAGAAGCGGGAACAGACACAGACGAAGCATCATATGAAGGAGCACTATATGCAGAAGAACTGTTATTGAGACCTCTTGTTTCCTCCTTCTCTGAGGTACTTAAAAGCAGATCCTTATCATTTGCTTCGACTCTGTTTGGAACAACAGTATCCGCAGATTCTGTCCCAATAGATACATTTCCAATTTCATCTGAAAACTCAAATGGGCCTCTGTGTTCCTTATAAGTAAACATGTACGAAGGCTGCAAGCATTTCAAAATATCAGTCTTTGTCAATTGTCAGGCCTCCCTTCAACAAAGCTCTCAATATATTGTAAACAAGTGAAAATACCGCAATCAATTCAGACAAGTAACGTATGGTTTACACTTATATTCACATATCCATTCTGTGCGCCTTGTGTTTGTCTATCCAGATACCCAGGAAGGGGATTGCGAGTGTGGTTTTCTTTTAATCTGAAATCATTTACAAGGGAGGAGAATTATTATTACCTTCTGATATACCACAGATAAACTGTTAAATTCGTCGAAAATCCGATCTTTGATTTCACTGCTCTGGGTATCAGCAAAGACAGAAACAGCTTGCTTTGGAGGGTTCACCACTTGTTCTGCTACACTTATTTTATATTGCAAAAGCCTGTAGTAGAATAAGGCTCTATCATGAACATCCTGCAACCAACTGAAAGTTTACTGAACATTCCTAATGAAAATATGACAAAATTCTCACCAATAGAAATTAATGCACGCATAGAACTTTTAAAGGTAATCATATATAACAACATCAAAACTCAACAACATGCACCTGATGAAAATCAGCAAGACCTGCGGCCAGTGCAGCTCCCAGGGATTTCTGAGTCTCAGGTGGCCTCTTAAAAAAACACTTCATCACTGCTGTTAGTAGATGTAAACGAACCTGCGCAATGGAATCGTCCCATCACTCAATAGTACACAAGTAATTAATAACACGACCATAGTTTTAATTCATGAATTTGTACCATTAGAGGTTCAAAAGTATATCTGTACCTGTAAAAGGCTAGAATATACTGACCACAAAGATCCTACACAATCCCCACACTAAGTACACACACAAATACTAGACCCCTGGTTTGTTATTAATTTCCAAGCACTAACATTGAAACCACATTGGCTGATCAAATCGAGACTGCAAGTCTGCAACACAGTACTTTATTCTTTTCATAAATAAAAAACTACATTCCAAGTAATTTCAAGAGGCCAACCAGAAAATGGATCCTCATCAAAACTAAGTAATATACACTTCAGCTAAAAGAAATAATAATTTCATATCTTTCTGTTTACTACACGATGTGAAAACATTGACAAATAAACCAGGGCTCATTAAGATAGAACAGAAAATGCAACTTAATAACTTACCTCAGCGGAATGCTCATCTTCCCAATTTTCAATCAAACCCTCTAAAATATAAGGTGCATCATGCATTTCCTGAGAATACTCCCCCAGCATCCATATAAGAGCAGCCTTGGCCTTGGGTTCTTGAACATTTTTGCTGCTGATGTTCCCAACAACTGCAATACAATCCTGACTCCATTGTGGATATTTCCTCAGCAGATCTTTTACAAGAACCTGTAATAAAAAAACTCCAAACTTGAGTCAACCTGGCTAGCTATCGAATATATAAACGTAACATGACCGTTATTTTGCTTTTATT